TAATTCTTTAAATTAATGTGGGAGTCTCCCAAGGAAGAGGTGTTACCTGCAGTCTCCAGTAGTAATACAATCTTAAAATCAAGTACCAAAAAATACTTTGCCTATTATTATTTGTTTTTATCAAATAACATACCTTTTCAGTTTCAAATTGTACTGAACAAAATTTCCGCTGTTTATAGGAGTCCTTTACAGTCAATAAAAACATTGTTTTAGACTTCAATCCACTGCTAGTTATATTTGTTGATTATATATATGTCTACCCAGTCTAATTATGTAATGAATCAGATTTAATTTTTATTTCTAAAATAAAATTGGATAACTACTTCTTTATTATCCCCACTTGAACTTCCATCTTTGTTATGTTATATAAAATTTTATTTCAGAAATCCCCTTAACCAACATGACCAATGGCATCAGGAATTTCACTACAATGTGAATGTTTTTCTTCACTTGTGATCCCAATTATGTTTTTATAGTCCCTAACCAATGCAATCAGGGACCTTGATGAAATCAGAGATTATGTATACTTTTAACTTATATAATCTTGTTGATCAGCAATTATTTTGTTGTTAGTCCTTGGTAAATATAAATGAGATTAGCTTCAAGGTCCTCGACTTAAAGGTTATTAGCATACATTGTATGATAATGTGTTAATGCACTCGAAATATAAACTGACAAAAAAGATGACAATTCAGCATTTTGACATTTGTCATATATATATAAATGTTATCATATAATAATGTTACTTTAATTCAAAATTATTACATACAATTTAAAGAAACTGGAAAAGATAATTTAAATTTATCAATGTTCTGAATATTCTTTTTTCTTCTTCTACTTTTCCATGATTCTGAAAGATCCTTAGTCTAGGACATAAACCAGCAATAGAAATTCTAAAATCAAACTAATGCAAGTGATGCAACAACTTTACAAACAATACATACCAAAACCAAATTGTATATAAAAAAATCTTTAAGTACTCAAATAGTGTTTGTAACAGTAACATTTGTATATGTACATGTACATATATTAGATAGCAAACAGCAATTTACATATTTCCCAAAAACAGCCAAAATTACCACAATTTTTGTTAAAAAGATTTTCAACTTGATGTATATGTATATTTACATGTATTTCATGAGATTTAACATTATGTTATTTTTGCAAATTTAATTTATTTAAGTTTATTGTTACATATTAAGGAAAGGAGGAGGTACATTTTGTATGATACCTGCCATTATTTGGCCCTTGAAATTGCAAAAAAAAGTAAAATTATTCAAGCCTTTCAAAATTATGTATTTTGTTAAATCTATTGATAAATGAGCAGGTTAATATAAGATGGACACTCCAGTGCTGAAAGGTCACTTTTTATGTCACTATGTTCTACCTTCAATGACAATTTTACTCATAGTTTTCGGACAAAACAGATACACAAATGTATGAGCCATGGATTTACCGAAAGGAATATTTTACACACATTAACATCTTTGTAAAATACATTGTGTGTATAGCAATATAGATCAATATAGTGAAGCCTTGGCTCACAAACGTATATAAATATAAATGACAAGATTTCAAAATGAGGCTATTTTGAGTGGTTTTTTTTAGTTATTTTTTAACTAAATTCAAGGAGTATGAAGCCCTGATGCAAACATGTGAGACAAATTCTATAAATATAAATACTGATGTCAGACAGACTAATGTCTTACAAACATTTGAAGGATGTTATGTGGTAGATATAGAATACTTCTGATTTTCATGTTCAAGGGGCCAAAAACTTGCCCATCATTGTTGGCCTACAATCTTGGTTTTGTAGGGAAATTCTCTGTGTGCTGTGATGCAACAAGGGTTGAGAATTAACCTGTTTGGTTTACAATAGATTAAAAAAAATGTCATTGTCTCTATATTGGATCTAACTTTAAACTATGATTAGATTGTTTTTTCTTTAGAGATAGAAGAACAAAATGTTTCATTTTTTTTTAAATTCTATTTGGGATGCAGACAAGGGGATCTGTCTTTGCATTTTTGTTTTTTGTTATCTATATATGCAGTAATAATGTAAATTCAGAAATTAATGGGAATCACTGATTACTGGTTAAAATATGAGTTCTGATGTGATTGCAAACATTTTGTGAAGGAAAATTACTTCTGAAATTATGAATGCAGGTTTTAATTCTTGAATTAACAGTATTACAATGTATACCTCAAATCAGATATCTTGATGGAATATATTTCTATTGATCAATTACATATAACAAAATACTAGTTTGATGATGACACATCATCTTCTTTATAATAAGTAATTTTAAAAAACCAAGAGAAGCACTGAACAAAATAAAAATCTTTCCAACTCTAGACTAGACACATGCCAATTGAAGAAAACTGACAATCTTTTAAGAGGAAAGATGAAATTTTCATTACTTGGTGTAGACATATAAATATTGAAAGTCTATAAATTTAAATAAAATTTAAAGATAATCTGGTGTAAATAAATCTATTATTAATAGCTGGTCAAAGAGGTTATTCACTCCTTTAGAGGAACTTTATAATGTATGTACCTGTTTGTTAAAAACTCTTAATCACTACGAAATGTGTAAATAAAGCTGGTTTGATACATTTTCACAGCTTTATTGTTAACAGTACATATTAAGGGATATAAACATAGCAATGTTTGCCAAAACTGTATGCAAGAAAAATGAGCAGAGCTGTAATACACATGTACAACCTAGCACAAAGAATATAAAAATTAGAAGATGTGGAATGATTGCCAATGAGACAACTCTCCACCAGAGACTAAATGACATACGAGTTAGCCAACTATTGGTCACTGTTTTGCCTTCAACACTGAGCAAAACCCATACCGAATAGACAGCTAAAAAGGACCCAAATTGACAAATGTAAAGCAATTCTGATGAGAAAACTAACATACTGATTTATGTACAATGTACAAAACAACAAACTCAAAAACCAAATATGATACTGGTACATGTTTATAGTGTAATATTCTAACTATTGATCGGGAATATATGTATGTTCGTTCGTTACATTGTACAATGTATTTGGAGTTATATTATCTACATATACCTTGATTAAAGAATCATAAAAGCAGCATGGTTTGGGTCTTGAAAAACAAAGACATTCACCTTATAATCTACCAATAATCCTTGTAAAACACACAAATCGCCTTACAGATCATTTCAATCAGCAACAAAGGACAAGCACTGAATTACAGGCTCCTGACTTGGGACAGACACTCAAAGAATGTCTTTTAATGGGGAAATAATCAAATTCTGGCTTTAGCCCAACAAAATTAATTATCAAACAATGTCTTTTCTACAGTCATGTTTACTCAGTATAAACACCCACAATGCTAGATCAAAACTATAAATCCAACTGTTTACTAGAAAAACATTGAAAAATTTATGTTTGTTTATGATTTTTTTTACACTTTTTTACCATAGGACAAAACCAAAGTCAGAAGGAACTGAAATTTCATGTAAATACAAAAGTAAATGATTTTCTGCCAAAAGAAATAAGACATAAAATAAAATTCATTAGTACATGAACAGGTACAGTACTTGATTACAAATAAATGGGGAATGTGTCCATGGGACACAGATGATGCCCCCGCTTGCACATAATGTTATAAAGGGATATAACTCAAGAACTGTAAAAGAGACACTTCCCAAATTTGTACTTGATCTGAGTTTTGTGGTACATGTAATAAGCATTGTGTATACGTTTCATAACATTTGGTTGAAGCAAACTAAAGTAAGAGAACAGAAACGAAAAATTCAGCAATTTTTCCATTTGTAGAAGGCATAACTCTAGAACAGCAAAAGTGAAGCCACCAAAATTTGAACTTGAACTGTGTTTTGTGGTAATTAGCATTGTGTATAAGTTTCATAACATTTGGTTGAGGCAAACTAAAGTAAGAGAATGGAAATGAAAAATTCAGCAATTTTTCCATTTGTAGAGGGGCATAACTCTAGAACGGCAAAAGTGATGCCACCAAAATTCCAACTTGATCTGTGTTTTGTGGTTATAAGCATTGTGTATAAGTTTCATAATATTTGGTTGAGGCAAACTAAAGTTAAAGAACGGAAACGAAAAATTCAGCAAGTTTTCCATTTATAAAGGGGCATAACTCTAGAACGGTAAAAGTGACTCCACCAAAATTCAAACTTGATTTGTTATTTGTGGTAATAAGCATTGTGTATAAGTTTCATAACATTTGGTTGAGGCAAACTAAAGTTAGAGAACGGAAACCAATTTTGGGACGTACGTATGGACGTACATACGGACATGGACAAGGGTATAACTTAATGCCCCCTCCACTACGGCGGGGGCATAAAATATGTAACTTGAAACTTAAAACCATGTTTTTTTTACATTGCTTATGACATGTATGATGTCAGATTTTTCTATTTTGTGTTGTTGGGCTGCCTTTTCACTGTCCTATACCCAATATCTATTTCAACTTATTAATAAAAAATTTTAAAACATTTCAAGAATTAATATATAATTTGAAACAAACCATACATGTTTAATACAAGGAAAATGTTGTCTGAAACTCAAAGAAAACATTCCTTTGCTAACAATTGCTTTGACTTCCTAAATGATTTGTGTAAAACAAGTATATGTATAGTAAGAAGGCCATCTTACTATACAAATCCTTGTGTAAAAGAATAGACATTGTCACAGCAACAAAAGCAGTTCAAGTTAATGTTTGTGAATCCTTTGGGCAATACGAACATCGTAGTTGATGTTATATTTCATGTACGCTACTCAATACTTCTACCTTTGAGTCACTCAGTGAGTGACCACAATGACCAGGCGGACTATTTTTTCAATTATGGTTGTGTGAAGTTGATCTGATAAAAAAAGGTGATGAGAGATTACATTTACTGGGATTAAGAACAGGTACATATTGGTGCAGCATCAGCAACTGGTTGCAAAATGGCTAGGACTGTGGGTAAGGAACAATGTCAATTCAATACCTTTATTTTCACTCGAATGACCTCTCTACGTTCTGTTATTCCATAAAACCCTGACATATTGACATGTAACTTTCACGTCAGAGTTGTCATCTGTTCGAACAGTAGCTCCAGCTGATTAACGTCACCCATCAGATACCGGAAGTCACAATTATTATTCCAGGTTGTCATCGAGTTTTCCTGGAAAGGGTAAATCTGCTTTTACTGTGTAAAAATATAGACAAAAAAAATAATAAAAAATAACAGTGATAAAATTATACATACCAAATTATAAGATTTTATACAATAGCAACAGTATGGTACACTTAAATATGTATGATATTACAATAAGTTATCTAATTGCTGTCCTGTGTTCCCTACTACCAGAATGAAATAACCCAATAGACTGGTTCAAAATATTATCAGGATACCAGTTTAAATAGAGGGTCTATTCGGGTGAACCCAGGTTTACAGAAGTTCTAAAGGCAAATATAAAACTGCCACACCCGACTTAACATCCGACATTTTTTTTTTATTATTATTCCTATTTAATAAACAAAAGCATACTAACATCTTCAACAGTAGTAAAAGCTCACCAAATAAACAAAATATTAAATCCTAAAAAAAATATCTAAATTCACGGATATAGTAACTCGGAAAAAAAACAGGAACACTATTTACCACGATTTAATTTAGCCAGATTGAAATGGGGTCCTTTCAAAATAAGTGTAAAGTTAAAACAGTGGGATAAACAAAATATGTTTATATATGAATAATAAGACATGTAGGGTGTACGCCAATGAAATTGTCTAGTATAATAAAAATCACTACGGTAAGAAAGGATATTTTGAAGGAGTTTATTGTTGTGTAAACTTGGTCCACTCACTCACAACTATGATAAAATGTCACAGGTGCAAGACGAGATTTAAAAAAATATATACTGAATACACGAACAGGGATGGCTGTGCTCTTGACAGAAAACCGCCCTGGCGGGGTTATATGATAAGGAAGGACGACTGAAATCGAACACGCATACACATAACTATTCCCGTGAAATCTTTAAGGAATCTCAGGTTCGATCATCGGTAAACGAGAGAGCTATTTCACACTCCTTTTCCTATGGCATTACTTGAAAAAAACAAAGCCTAATCTTGTAACATAGCCGGACTTACCTGAAATGGGGTGTTCAAAATATGTAGGTACACACAGGGAGTGCATTTTTCAAACAAACACAAGAACATCTATAAAGCTTGTATAGACCTAAATTCAAAAGTTTGATTAATCAACATTCAGGAAAACTCAAACACAAATAAACTTTTCAACTATGCACTCGAAATTTTCCAGAAAAAAAACAGAATCATCACGTGAGCAATTTGAAGATTCACGTAAAATTTGCGAATTGCTTTGACTTCAACGACCACACGGACCTCATATTCTCTCGGTCTAGAGGACATTATCATGGGACAAGGGAACTAACCCGCATATCTCAAACTTTTCTCTATTGATATCATGAATATCGTTGATAAAAGACAACGTAATCACAGGAACTTCATGAGGGGTCACTTATGACAAACCTATCACCCACAATGTACTAACTTTACACTTGATGATCCCTTATCTTTATATATATTTTGTACACGTTATCATTTTGTACAAATTATAATTTGTATTATATATAAATATAAAATTGTAATTTGTACAAAAAGTGCTTGTACGAAATTTGACTAAAATTCACTTATAACTTGTACAATAATGTATAGTATGTATTTTGTTATAAAAAAGCATTGATATACACTATGGAATTTTTATTCAATGACCACACAATACACCTTATTTACAAAATACAAAAATGGTTTTGTATCATTTGTTTGAGCATGTGAGTGAATTATGGCATCGGGAATTGCACAACATCTTTTGCTTTTTGCATTTACATTTAGAAGTGGTGCATCCCCCTTTGCATTTACACGAAAGAAACCCCTGACCACCAGTTTTTGAAAGCTTCTTAACTGCTTCACGTAGCGAAAGTTGAAGCTCAGAAACCGTTGCGGCGAATAAAGATGTGTCTTTAACAGCTTCAATTTGATTTCTCGACAAATATCCTGTTAAAATTCCTACAGCTGTTTCAGTGCGGTACACAAGTTTTCCAGATTCAAAAATTACACTTACGATATTTCGAGGATCAGTTGGGGCATGATCATACTGAGGAATTGGTATAATGACATTATCCCCCACTGCAAGTTCTGATTATTTCTGTTTCATTTTCTTGGTTAGATATTCGGCTTGGATCTGTTGGCCAGACAGCGCACGCTTCCTGGCACGTTTGATTGGTGTTTTAACGTCAGCGTCATCCTGATTGTCACTGGGGCCAATTTCTATTGTACCATCACATTGTCACTGGGGCCAATTTCTATTATACTATTAGAATTGTCACTGGGGCCAATTTTTGTTATTCCATCAGAATTGTCACTGGGGCCAATTTATATTGTACTATCAGAATTAACTTGCATGCATGTATCAATTACATTTCCTGTCTCTATCTGGGTACTTTTGTATTTTGTAAATAGGGTTTATTGTGTGGTAATTGAATAAAAATTCTATAGTGTGTATCAATGCTTGTTTATAATAAAATCCATACTATAAAATATTGTACAAGTTATAAGTGAATTTTAGTCAAATTTTGTACAAATTGTAATTTGTACAAGCACTTTTTGTACAAATTACAATTTTGTACAAAGTCAAAATACAAATTATAATTTGTACAATTTTTGTGTACAAATTATAATTTGTACACAATGATAACCTGTACACAACATATATAAAAACAATGATAGAAAACCAATTAGTAAATTATAAAACTATTGATAACGAGTGTGATACTTAATAGTTTTTCAGTCCACTATATGACTGTACGCATATCATTACAACTTTTTGTCCTAATAGGATATACCTTTGTAATGAAAACCTTGATCTTATATGTAAACGTTTTTTTCTAAAAATAAAATATATTAACAGAGGTGTTGATTTTATCAACGTATCCAGTACTTTTAATGACTCTATCGTTCAAAACTTTATACCACCCTATTTTGATAACATAGAACTATCTATAATTTCTCTTATGTACACTGAAATAGTACAAGTCTAATTATACGCCAGTTACATCAGATGTCAGTTTAGAAAATAACACTCTTTCAACATGAGACTATGAAACATCGAAGTTTGGATATGACCCCTATGGCCATGTTATTCCAGGGGACCTCAACATCGCAAACGGTTTAGGACCGAGAGGTTATAAACTCTCTGAAAAAAGACCAAACTATCGTCCTCAATCGAAAAAAAGAGTGTTGTCAGAACATTTAAGATTTTATTTTCCATCTTATTGTAAACTGAAATTGATGTAATAGAAAAGTTGAACTGATGGTCGAAAAGTCCCTTCACTCCAATTTAAATAAATGTCTGAATATTATGGATATTAGCATATCACATTCCTGAAAAAATTAGGAAATTGATAAAAAAAAAGGTTGTTAGTAATATATGCCCATTTCCCGGATTTAAAAAAAAAACCACTTTAAATCTCGTTAAGCGTTTTGTGTTCGTTCCGTCCGACGAATCAGATAACCATGTGTATTGGTAAACGGTAAATACTACACAGAAGTTCGTAAGAATGAAATCATAAATTCTACATTTAAGACCGTGCGCACCACAGAGAGTTTAATAGTAAACAATCATGTCACTACCACACCTCAGCTTAATGTCTCCTCTGCACAAGGTCCCTACTATATATATATGTATTGGTTTCCTAAACGACACAAAACGAAACTTTCAATATCATTTCATCGTGGCTTCTAGTAAGTGTTCTACTACTAATCTTTCTGTGCTTTTAACTAGTTCCCTTACAAAAATTAAAAGAACTTGAATGTTATTAACCTTTGCAATAAAGCTGGTGAAAATAATGGAATAAATCATATTTGGGGTAAACAACTCTGTGTATGTTTAAAACGTGTTTTTGATGGTCCATTTAAATCGGCAGATAGTTATGACTTGGTGCGGACTCTCTTTACTACACTTTCACATAGTCTTATTAAACAGAAGTTTTCATATTTAGTAAAAGTCATTTGAAAAATCTGATTGCAGATTAATTTTCTGCAACTCATATAAATAGATATAAGAAGATGTGGTATGAGTGCCAATGAGACAACTCTCCATCCAAGTCACAATTTGTAAAAGTAAACCATTTTGTCGAGCCAAGGCTCCGTGTTGAAGGCCGTACTTTGACATATAGTGGTTTACTCTTACAAATTGTGACTTGGATGGAGAGTTGTCTCATTGGCACTCATACCACATCTTCTTATATCTAATTATTATGACATTTTGACTGAGTGCGAATTCACACGGCGGGTACGTGATATATGCATAGCAGGAGACGTTTATCTCGCTCTGTTTGTTCATGCGATTCCCTTAAGTCTTATCTTATATATTTATGTGTAAATTCTTAATGGATTTACGAGATTTGAGCGCCAGTAAACAACTGCTTCCTTTCTTCATTTTAAGCCTTAGCTGCCTATCTATGCGTTTTCTATTGATAAGTCGCCTTATCAGATGGCGTAATGTCGCGGAATTTCTTTGTTTTATTATTTTGACTGTAATTTATACATGCATAACGGATGACATGACACTTACCAATGCAATGACTTAACTTACAACACTGGAATTATAAGGAGATATAATCTAGATGAGCATAGGCAATTTTAACCGATCAATGACTTATTCTAGGGTCTGAGTTGTGCTGAACTCAAAACATCTGACAGATTTAAGAAAACCGGAAGACCAGATGCGAGGATCTAGAAATTTTTGAAATGAGGTGTCTAGTTTTAAGGGTTCCATCTAGATCCGCTAATATGCCAGCTCCGGGAAACATTACAGATTCTATGTTTGTAAGAACCACAAAGTTCAAAAGCAATGAGGTCCAATCTAATTAAAATATAGATCTCGGATTTCGTTATACTACGTTATACTACATACGAAGATCTAACAACTACCCGTATAAGGTTTCACTTCTGAAGGATTTTGCATGTGACTTTTTCAACCAATCAGAATTCTAGTTATCCAATCTGAACAGCGCACGCGGAACATATTTACTTGAATGAGGTTCATTGAAAGGTCCCGAGGGTATCCAAAAATAAAAACAATGGGACTTAAAATTTATCGCTTCGATTGTTAATCGTTTGGAAATAGTTTTTAAATCTCTTTCGTCGTCATATTGTAACTATAGCCATGAATATTTGAAATATGTGACGTTTGTCAAAGTTTTCAGATGTGCCTCATATGCTTTATGACTTGAGGTCGGATCGTAATCGTGGAAATTAAAGAGTACAGTAAACACTGTTAAACTGTACACTATAGCACTGCCAGTGGCGGATCCAGGGGGGAGGGGGGGCTTCCAGGGGTTGGAACCCCCCTTTTTTTTGACGATCAATGCATTTGAATGGGGACATATAGTTGGAACCCCCCCCCCCCCTCTTTATCCTGGGTTATGTAGTATAACGTAGTATAACGAAATCCGAGATCTATATTTTAATTAGATTGAATGAGGTCCAAACACATTTGATTTTCAATTGGCCGCATATTTATACATTACGCATTAATTGCCCTTTCGACACACCCGGGACATATATATTTGATTCCAATTATTTTTACTTCAATATTTGTTTGTCTCTACCTTTACGTATGTAAATAGAAATATATATATAGAAATGTATATCGAATTGATATTTAAAAAAATAAATAAGCTCACTTCTACATCAGAGCAACAGAAAAAAAAATCATAACAAATAATAAAATGCTTATCTTTATTAGGACATCTTTAAAATATGTAACAGTAACATAAATATTTAAACACCCATTAAAGAAAACTAGTCGTGAAATATTAGGTCCTAGCTCTTATTGTTTCCTTTCATCGTCTTTTTGTTTAGTCTTTAATTGCCTTTTCTTTAAACTTTTAACTAAAGAAACTAATCTTTTTAATGTTGACAACCGCTGTTCCTTCTTCATTTTAGGCTTTAGCTGCCTATCTATGCGTTTCCTATTGAAAAGTTGTCTTATCCGATGGCGTAATGTCGGGGAATTTCTTTGTGTTATTTGTTTGACTCCAAGACCAGATTTGGTCGCATCACTTTGTCTTAACTGATGGAGTTCAAGAGCAACTTTATCCGCCGAATGCAGACTTCTGTGATTAACTTTCGCGATATTCATCTGCCTTTTATTATTCCTGTCTGTGTCTAGTTGCTTGTCACTTTGGCGTTTTCTTCCATTTTGTTTTAGCCTTAAAATAAAAATATAACTATATGTTTTATAGTTAGTGTAAATACATTATTATTTAAAAAATCGTGAAGTTTTCCCATTTCATTATGATAATAATTACAGAGACAGTGTACTAACAAAAGTGTTGTCTCTAACGAAATTCGGTGAAAAAAAAAACGGGCAAGTGGTTGGTGGATAGTTTTTCAGATATTAGGCAAAAACGAAATAAATTTGTAAAAATCGTCATTAAAGAACAATAACTCCAATAAGGATTCTGATGATTTCGACCATGTTCACTTATTTGTAGGTCTTGTCTTGCTGATCATTTTTGGTTTTATAATGTTTTACTATCTATTATAATTTTCAAGATAATAGGCAAACATGAAAATAAATTGGTACAATTAGTCATTTAAGGACATTAACTTCAATAATAGATCGTCTGACAGTTTTGATGTTTTTATCATTCGGAACATTCTCCCTGTCAGATTTTCTACATTTAAAGCTGTTTTAAAGATAATAGATTAAACTTGCATTTTACCCCTATGTTCTATTTTTGACACGTCGGCCATGTTAGTTGGCAGACGGGGTCATCGGACACATTTTTGAAAACTAGATACCATAATACTGATGATCGTGGCTAAGTTTGGTTAAATTTGGCCCAGTTGTTTCAGAGAAGATTTTTGTAAACGTTGACATACGACAGACGACGGACACCAATGGATGAGAACAGCTCACACTGAGCCTTCGGGCCACTGTGGGCTTAGAATGATATGAATATGCACCATGCTTTGTTGTAAACCAATACGTTGAACCACATCTTAATTAATCTAATGTATACAAGGTGATTGATTGCCCACATGAAGATATGTCATTCTGCTCGGATACATAATTTTGTCTCCAAACTGACTAGCTTTGCTATTTTTGGCATGACTAGCAAGCAGCAAGCAACTCAAATTTCAATGTCTATTGTTGAACCTGACTTAGAATGGAGCCCACAATAAGCTTTCTTGCTACAAAACTGTCGAGGCAGTTTGGATGATAAGAGATAAAGATATTAATGCTTAAATAATGAAACACAAGAGCCATTCTTGTGTATCTATCAGATACTATTTAAGGTTACCGTACAACTTTTCCACGCTTCCACCAAAAGTCATTTCCACCATTCCAGCTGTTATCCCATGAATTCCCATCATTCCAGTCATTGTTCCAAGAGCTTTCGCTGTTTTGGTTATTGTCCCACGAGTTTCCATTATCCCAATTATTGTCCCACCAGTTTCCATTATCCCAATTATTGTCCCATGAGTTTCCATTATTCCAGTTATTGTCCCATGTATTTCCGCTATTTCCGTTTCTGTCCCTTGAGTTTCCATCTTCCCAATTATTGTCCCACGAGTTTCTATCATTCCAATTATTGTCCCATGATTTTCCATTATTCCAGTTATTGTCCCATGTATTACCACTATTTCCGTTACTGTCCCATGAGTTTCCGTCATCCCAATTATTGTCCAATGAGTTTCCATCATCCCAATTATTGTCCCATGAGTTTCCATTATTCCAGTTATTGTCCCATGTATTTCCGCTATTTACATTACTGTCCCATGAGTTTCCACCATTCCAGTTATTTTCCCAAGAGTTTACACCATTCCAGGTATTGTCCCAAGAATTTCCACTATTCCAATTATTTCCCCAAGAGTTTCCATTATCTACGTTACTGTCCCACGAGTTTCCAGCATTCCAGTCAGCGTCCCATGAATTCCAACTATCCCAATTATTGTTACCACTGTTGCCGTTATTGTCCCATGAATTTCCACTGTTGCCATTATTGTCCCATGATTGTCCACCATCCCACCAATTTGCAATGTTAGTGTTGTCCCACGAATTTCCACTGTTGCCATTATTGTCCCACGAATTTCCACTGTTTCCTTTATTGTCCCACGATTGTTCGCCATCCCACGAATTTCCACTGTTGGTGTTGTCCCATGTATTTCCACCATCCCACCAATTTTCACTGTCGGTATTGTCCCACGAATTTCCGCCTGTGTTCCCCTCATTATTATTCCACCAATTATTATCATTATTGCTACTAGTATCACCACCATTGATGTTACTATCCCACCAGTTTACATTATTATCCGTTCCAGTTTCTCCACCATTGCTGTTATTATCCCATACATTTCCGCCGTTATTAGATCCTACATGAATATTTCCAATAAAACAAACATTTATACTGTTTTATTTGTCATTGTATATTTTAACCTTTACTGTTTAGTTCATTTTTGGTAATATCCTTTTGGCGTGACTCGGTATTTATAAATCCCCCTATTGTGATATTATTATTGCCATTTTATTTTTCTTTGTTGCCATAGTTTTTTTTTTATAGTGATTAAGATTATAACACAATGTTGTTTGCTGTACCACAATTTTTTACATTTTTACCTATTATGTCTGTCTGTTTTGCTCGCACATTGTTGTCAATATAATGGAATTCTAAGCGACTGTCATACAAGGTAGATATAAAACCATGTTTAAACCAAAATTTTCTACATAAAGAAATGCCTGTACCAAGTCAGGAATATGACAGTTGTTTTCCTATTCGTTTGATGTATTTGAGCTTTTGATCTTGCCATTTAATGAGGGACTTGCCTTTTTGAATTTTTTGGAGTTCGGTACTTTTGTTATTTTGCTTTTTAGCAATAAAAAAAACTCGGCAAAATGTTAATTTTCACGGTATTGAAATAATAGTTGTAACACAGTGAGGTATTTTTTTGTAACTACAATCAGCTCTTAGTTCTTTCTTTAAAAACGTTTTTGTGTTGTTGACGTATATATGTTTTTTTTTCTTTTCAATTGTGTTTTGTCGTTAACCTATTTCGGAGAAAGGTATGAAACCTAATTGAAGGAGAGATAGATGGGTTGATATAAAGGGGAATAAACCAAAAATGTAGAAGAAATTGTGTGTTTCGTCTTTGAGTAAAAATATTCCATCGTTCTATAAAGATTGACAAGTTATGTATATATATATAGCACGCATTTTACGAATTAACGTATTTAATTCACGAAAGCGTAGCGAATGAGTAAGGCATGGCTATATATGATTTGTAACGTTAATGGGCGGTGACACATGTCAAAGCTTAAACTTAACTGTACTTTTCAGAATTAAATATGCCAATCAAATAGTGGCATTTTCTAAGACAAAACGTCTCTTATTTTCAGAAAATGAACTCATGGGTCGGATTTTTAGTAGGATTTGATTTAATGATAGATTCAGACGTAAATGAATTCTTGCCGTGATACTTTCATCAAGGTTTAAAGACTAGGGAGCGATTTATGTGTTATTGGAGTGCCCCCTCACCCTGGCGAAAATTCTTGAGTGGATAGATGCAAAATTTTGTTAGATGTATACCATGCTACCTGCTTTCAAAACCAATAGGACGTGTAGTTTTAGAAGAGGTAAAAGAAGGAACCGTATTTTAAGCTGATTGTGTTATTGTAAAGGTATTCTGCCTTTCCCAACTGACCATGAAAATCATCGATTAATAGATAGGCTGTTGATTGCGTAAGGTCAAGAGATAAATATTTTAAGCCTGCTCAATTCACGGAGATATACCTTCAAAAAGTGGAGGGAATGAAACGACAAAAAACCCAGTGACAATATTTTTTAATATTTATTTTGACACGAAAAAAACAGGTGTCCACCAATGTATCAATATCGCCTCTTCGTTGATAGACCGCTTTCAGATTCCTTGTTGTAGCTCTCCCCGAGCATTCATTTGTTTCAAGTATAGGGAACCATTTTTAATTTAGGGTTAGGTTTACAAGCTTGGCTAGTGTGAGGGTAAGCCCCCCCCCCCCCCCCTTTTCACGATTTTTATTTGGATACATTGTTGTGTTTGCATTTTGTTTGAATTCATAAGGACATGTTATGGTTATGGATTTCATAGTTTACTAGGCCAAGGAGGCGCAGCTAGACAGTGAAATAACAATGACAAGCGACACACGACGGGACTGGAGAGTGCAATAAATAAAAAATCTTTCAGATAACGCACTCCTCTAAAAATAGCAGAAGTTAACTCACTAGAAGATGAAAGGTAAAATTACCATTCATGTTACAATACACTTTAATGCCGACATAAATAGTATACCTGAACATAAACCATCGTTACATTGTTGTCCTGCTGCACATTTAGAACAAGCACGTCCTTTGATGTACGGATCTCCAGTACGAAATTTACCATTATCATTGAAGTTACCACTAGAAAAATGAAACAAGATTCAAGTTAAATTTATCTAGCCACACTTCATTGGTGTTTGCCAAATATACAGAGCACTACATGAACTTCTTATTTTTGTATTTATTTATTTTTTGTGACTTGTCGTTTTTTTTAAATTTTTAATGTTTATTATTATTTTTCAATCAAGTTTTTTTTTGTATCTACGAATACATTTTGTGAGAAGTCGGAACTTTTGACTCAGATTATTTTTAGTATGTCAGACTTAAGTTAGCTCTAATATCGAATCAGTTGTGACAATACATTCCGTATGCAGGTTATGGTGTATATTTCTTTCGATATTGGGAACTGTATATTTAAAAAATCGTCGTGTCCGTCAAAGAGCTTGATAAGAAGATATACATTATGGTTGAAATCCAAGTGGGTGTTCAAGAATGAGAGATCATTTGAGGTTTCTATAGTTTTGATGTTGATGAACGAGATGTATAATAAAACAATTACCAAAAACCAATTATGACAGGCATAAACAACTAACGACAGCCACTATTTTACAGGCTACTTACTTGGGACAGACTCATAAAAAAGAATGTGGCTGAATTTGGGACAGACACATAAAAAGAATGTGGCTGATTTAAACATGCATGCTCAACTCTCTCATAAAATGGGACAGTGGTGTAGCACAACATATCAAAGAAAAAACTTTCAAAATTAGTTGGAAATACTTAGCTCAATAGATTATTTATCTTGTTGACACAAGCTCTCCACTAAAGATATTCCAGCAAGATGATATAAGCACACAAATGACAGCGTGTCCTGCTTTATCACAGTATGTCTTAAGGAAATTTATATTAAGTACACCAACTCCATGCTTCTTATCCCTCGACATAGTAATTCTCAGCAAACAAAGTTTGACCAACTTACGGTGGATTGTAAAAACAGGAAAGGTACAGAAATTTGTCTCGGAACTGGCCATTTGGTGGACAAGTATATATACCACATCCAACTTTGTTAGTCTTTGCCCACACAAGCTGCGAATAAATGAAAAACAATAATTATGTATATATAAAATGTCTGCTTCCTTGTACTGCATGGCTGTGCGTTTTCTTAAAGCTTTCCCGACATACCAATTGCATCATTGTATCATCTTGCATGATACTCTTCTATAAATTACTATTATGAATAATCAATAAAGCATTATGTTTGATATCCATACTGTCATACTGTTTGGAAAGCTCCAAAAGGTTCCCCAATCACAACAAGTGTAAACAATTCCGGGAAATGATCAGTATATTTATGTCAATATCATAAACTAGCTGGAATAAATCAGGAAGACAAATGTAGACAAGCAATGCTCTATCATCTCCTGTTTTTCGACAGATGTTTTAATGTATGATGCGAAGTTATGTATATGTGTACACGCTGATTTTTTCCTCGAACATAAGACAGCAGGTTAACACCAGATCCATGCAACAAAAGTAAAGCATTCATCAGATTAGTCCTTGAGACACAAACATCCATGCATAGAAAAAATGAGGGACAATAATTTCCGACTTGAGATTTAAAAAATCCCGAGACACGTCTAGTCATATAAATTTGCAGATGAAAATTTAGATTTTTTTTATTAGTTATTATTGGCTTTGAACTAGTTGTCAGTAACTACGAGTACTCTCAGATCTGTACATGGTGTCTTTTTGCTGTAGGGATGTAAAAAGTATTCGTCCATGTCCACTCTGTGTTTTTGTTAGATGTAATTCTATTTGTATTCATCTGACGAGTTAAGCCTTTTCAACTGATTTTTATTGTTTGTTGTTATGTTGTACTGTTACATCACTGTCCCAGGTTAGGGGAGGGTTGGCGCCTTCAAACTATTTTAACCCCGCCACATTCTGTATGTGCCTGTCCCAGGTCAGGAGCCTGTAATTAGGTAGTTGTCGTTTGTTGCTGTGTTACATATTTGTTTTTCATTCATTATTTTGTACATGAATTAGGCCGTTAGTTTTCTCTTTTGATTTGCTTTATATTTGTCATTTCGAGGCCTTTTATAGCTGACTATGCGGTATGGGCTTTGCTCATTGTTAAAGGCCGTATGACCTAAAGCTGGTAATTTGTGTCATTTGGTCCCTTGGGGAGAGTTGTCCCATTGGTAATCATACCACATCTTCTTTTTATATTATCAATTTAAATTTAAGTTTGAGGATGAGTCAGTGGAAAGCCATTATTCAATCAGGTATATCATCTGTTTCGTTTTGATTTAAAAAGAGCCTATCATCATATAGAAATATTTTCGGACCACAGAAAGTATTAAGGTTTTAGTTGGCATGCATTTTGAATGGACAATAAGTTATTTTGTATTTAACGTTCTAACATTTGAAATTGCATTTGAAATTGCTAGTGCTGGTCAAATATTTAACAAAATTTCAAAAGAAGTTGTCAAGTATTGGAGGAGTCAAGGTTTGAAAATCAGTTAGATGATGGTCTGAGTGGAGACGGTAATCTTGGTTTTGCATACCGTGTTAGCACTTTTATAAGACAAAGTTTGACCGAGTTTGGTTTTTTAATAGAAGAAGAGAAATGTATATGGTTGCCTGTACATAATATTATTTGGATAGGCTTATAGTTTATCGTAGACTTGTATTGACATGGTTTTATTTTTATATTTGTCTATCTTTATTGCTCTATGTAGTACTCTAGCTAGTCAACAAACATTAGTTTGTGTTGTGTTTTTCTATAAGTAGTTGGGTTAAATGTATTTAGTGGAAAGAAGACTACTCACAGTCACTGAAAGCCATTCCAAAAACGGAAGATCAACTGATATAAATAGATAATATCCATGGGACAGAATAGCAATCCAGAATAAGAATGATTAGGGATCATTCAAGCGAGACAGCAACCCGAAGAGCACCAAAAAGCCCTGAAACTCGATAAAATTGGAACTACCGGTATGACAAAATGTAAAACCCAAAAAGGTACAGGTGCTTTTGTCAAAAACAAGGAAATGCCTGTACCAAGTAAGGAATATGACAGTTGTTATCCATTCGTTTGATGAGTTTGAGCTTTTGATTTTGACATTTGATTACGGACTTTCCGTTTTGAATTTTCCTCTGAGTTATTTTACTTTTTGCTATAAATCAAACTGTTCTGTTGGTTCGAAGAAAGAATGGACTGAGTAGAACAACCAAGTTTGATATTGTATTATAGGTTAGATATTAAACGCATATTCAAACAATGAATATTAACTTCATTTAGACGTTAAGCACGCTATTGCGTCAATGCCGTGAAATCCGACAGAGCACTTGGATAAATAGCTCTTCTATGAAATCTAAATAGTTAAGCTTTATAAAATTTATATCCATCGACTAGGCAGGTATTACTGTTTCCAAAAAGATAAAACATTATTTTATAACTTTTCATAATATTTGTCAAATATTGTCAAAACGTCAAAAATATGCGTGTCAGACGTAACAAATTATACGCATAATAACTTTTACGGGAGTTTTTGTGCTCTTAGAAAGAGTGTAAAATCCGCGAAAATTCGCATGAATGATAAACGTCATATATAATTTATGACGTCATTGCTGATTTTTGCGTTGATGCAACGGTCAACGCTGATTTTTTCAAAAATGAATAATCTTCACGATGGTCAGATTTCAGAAAATGGTAAGTTATCAAAAGTTATGGCTTTTTAAAATATTAGATGATATGAATTTCGTTTTCATAAATCATTCCCACAAAAGCACATAGATAGACCATTTCAAATCCGGATTTTTACAGCACTCACATCACAAATAAAAACGCATTGGCTTTGGACAAATGTCTTGCAAGAATGTCCAATGTCGAATTTCGCCGCTTTTTACAAGTAAACTGTCAGTTTCGACGTCATTTAATAAAATATTCGATTTGTAGCATACAAAATAGTGATTTTGCGTAATTGTACTTTAACCCCACATAACAGTTACATACTTTTTGATAAGTTGTTAAGTCGAAACGACTTCGTTTTTTAACAAATCCAATGTCTTGCAAGTTTGTCCACTTTACAATTTTCTTACGTTTTGAACGTTGTCGATTCGGGACGCTATATATATGTGTGTTTTCAAATTAAATCTAAATGTTTGTTTTGTGTTTTGGTGTTGAACACCACTATAAGCGACTTTTATCGAACTTTATTAATAGGTGGAGGAAGCCGGACATCAGGCGACCTTCGGTTAGATAACTGACACTAACTGTCAATTAGGATCGGAGTCCAACAAATTTCGCCACGAGCGTATTTTAAAATCGCCAGGCTCGTGATCACTATATGAACCCCTAAGGCCACTCACCCATCTAGGCCATCGAAATTGAAAGCTTTTCGTATTATCATATAATATATGAACGATAATCTATTGTTTTCAAGTAACAAGTACGGTTCGATTTCATGTTAAGATCAGAGGACAAAACAGAATAACAAACTTATAAATTTCGCTATTAACTGTTCAAGCATCGAAAGAACTTTATACGGCTATGTTAGAAACGAAGATGACAACTGTAAAGGAAAAATATATACTAGTAGTATTTAACAAAAAGAAATTAAATTATTATCTAAATTGAAACAAATATGGTAATTTGTCAATAAATAGGTAAAATATTAATTGCAGAAAAGAAGAATTTTATGTCCGGAACAGAGAGAATTAAATATTATAAAGAGATGAAGAAACTAAAAAGAAAAGAGCAGAAAAATAAAAGTTACAATAAATATAAAGACAAATACAACGCAAGCCGAATCAGAAGTCCGAAAAGTGAGGTGTCCAAACGCGCTTTATATAAAAGAAATCAAAGGCAGAAAATCAAAGAAAAGAAAGTAAAACAGAATCAATATAAACGTCGGTCACGAGACAAAACACAAAAAGCAAAACAAACAAATAATCAAAATGTCGAAATTCGAAATGCAGTATTTAAAAATAAGATGGCCAAATGCAGGGCACTGAAAAGGCTTAAGGACGCTCTACCATCATCTCCAATTAAAAAACAAGCTATACTACAACACTGTGTATTTCACCAACAGCAAAACAATCTTTATAAACGCCAGAGTCCATCTCTCTCTGAAAAGGTCTTAGAAAATATGAAGGGATTCATACATGAAACAAAACAGAAAAGAAATTCTGATGCACGTAACGCTATGCATGTAATATCGGCTTCTGTCAGCGGTGAAAAAATTTCAAAAGGAGAAAAAAGCAAAGCAGCGCGTAAGTTGGGATTGCAGCCGCGGCGACTTTCTGATGGTCAAAGAATTCGCACTTCTGTTTTGAGATCAGAAAAATCTTGTTACGAATTCACAAAGAGGAAAACAAGATCTGACATTACTTCTGATGAAACAAAAAAAACAGGCTTATGATTTCTGGATATCCCCTATGGTTTCGCGCACAAGTTCTAACAAAACAGACATGAAACGCTCACGGATAGGGCCTCATGAATATGTTTCTCATCAAATAAACCTGCTCGAAAAAACGCAAACTGAAGTGTTTTTAGAGTTCAAAGCGAAATATCCAGATTTTAAAATATCACAACGTTTGTTTGAAAGTTACAAGCCGTTTTTCGTGATGCCAGTCAAACAAAAACATCGCAATACATGTTGTTGTCGGCAGCATATAGAGGTTCGAATTCTTTTTAAGAAATGTATGGAATTTCGGAAAAATTTGCATGCAAGTAATCTGGACTTGACCCAAGAGAACTTACCAGTTTTTGAACATTTAAATGACATATGTGCTGACACTTTATGTGATAAGACTGCACCGCACGCAAAGTGTTTAAATCGGTCTTGCAAAGAATGTGGAGTTGAAAAATTGTCCTTCCACGACAATGAACTAGACATATCTAAAAATGCTCGCGACATTAAGTGGGGAAAATTTGAATACACTGAAATAAACGTGAAAGGCAGAAAAACAAGAACAAAACTTATGTTAGTTAGTAAAAAAACAAAACCTGGCGAAATGTTTAACCATTTTAAATCACTACTCGAAACTTTTCCAGCTCATCAAAATAGAGCTAACTGGCAAAGTGAACAGTATAGAAATATTGTTCAAAATCTTCCAACCGATCACGCAGTTTGTATTCACGATTTCTCTGAGAACTACCGATGTTCCGAACGGACTGAAATCCAATCAGCATACTTTCAGAGAACCGAGGTTAGCATACACGTTACAATTTTAAGCAGGCATGCTATTCTTGAGGTAGACGGGATCGACAGTACATTAGATTCACCGGTAATAGTTAGTGAACAGTTTTTTGTCATTAGTCCAGACTTGGATCATGACCGTCACTATACTGGATATGTCCAAACTCTCATTTCAAAATACGTGAAATCGATATCTGCAGAAATTAAGATTATGCATGAATTTACCGACGGTTGCAGTGCTCAGTATAAAAGCCGAAACTGTATGGGCGATGTTTGTACACATAGATCGGATCTAGGGTACGACGTTTTAATTAGAAACTATTTTGAAACCTCGCATGGCAAAGGCCCACACGATGCTGCCGGTGGTTTTCTAAAGAATCAAGCGGACTCCACCGTGCTCCGGGGTAAAACTAAAATTCAGACGGCGCGTGACCTTTATGATTTTGCTCAGAAAAATCTCCAGAATCCACAGAGTGGAATATATAAAAAACGGCTATTCAAATACATTGCTGAAATTCCTCGTCTCCATAATATAAACTTTAAACCCGTGGATCAAAATCGCAAGATACACCAAATCATATCAACAAATTATTCTACAGATCTTCTTGTCCGCGACTTATCGTGTTATAATTGTGATAACTGTTTAAATGGAGCAATAAACGAGTGTGAGAAAACGCAATTGATAGGAAATTCCAAAAGAGTGAAAATGATTCAAAATGATAACTCGAATTCCGAAAAAAATGATGACCATTGCAATACAAATGATAATATAATTGAAGACATTGTTAAAAAGGACATGATAACTGCGGTTTTGGCAGACGATATTGATTATGAGTATTATATTTTAAAAGTGTCAAAAAGACCTCACATTATAAAAAAAATATTTCAGATGACTGGGGTTGTTCGTTTAACCGAGGTTCCAAAGTTGTGAAAGTACTGTATTACGAGAGGATAAAAAATCAACCGTTAATTTTCAAACTTGTGAAGCGTAAAACTGCGATTTGCTATTCCTCTGCAATACGATTCATTTGTGCCGAACTTGAAAGTGACAGTAAAATTGTTGTACCTGAAGAGTTACACCTCGATATTATACAAAGCTTGTAAACATATCAGATGAATATAATTATTTTTTCACGCAATTATTTTCTTTCTTAATCGAATTGTTCAGTTATGAAAAATAGTAGTGTTGAATATTTTTTTCCATATTTAACTTTTTTAGTAAGACCCTTTCACTTTTCATCAACTTCCCCCTCCCCCCCCCCCCCCCCCCCCCCCCAAAAAAAAAAATAAAATAAAAAACAAAAACACGACAAAACACCCAGACTTCTTTATTAAAGCAAAATGAGTAGCTGCCTCCCTCCTCCCTGTTCTCAGCACAGATTTAATGGGGGAACAATGTATTATATTACATTCTATAGGCACTATTATCTCACACAAATACATATTTTGTACTGTTTTAAGCTTGCGTAACTTCCAGTAGGAAGTATTTCATGCATATTCAAGACTTAGAAGTATCCATATCGATCAAAAAAGATTACCGACAAAACGAACAAAGTATCCTCGATTACTGGCATAAAACGTCAAATTATGACGTTACCAATTGAGACGCAATATCGTGCGTAACGTCAGACTAATCGACTGGGTTGTCCTAAACTTTGGGGGGGGGGGGGGGCTCAATTTCATTTCTCCAGTAAAAATGAAAATACTTGATATTTTCTTCGATTGATCTTAGCTGAAACAGATATAGTTATTTGACATTTATTGTAACTTGTGTTTAAAGTAAAGAAAATAATTGTTTTTATGAAAAGAAGTGAAAACCTTACAACAAGTACTTGTTTTCTATTTATACTTATCCTGGCAACAAGTACCTGTTGTCTATTTATACTTAAAGTGGTATATTTCCGAATGAGAACGTGAATGAGAGCTCATACCAATGCTGTACACCAAATAATTCTGGTGCTTTATTTTATGCTTTAATTTAGTAATAGCATACTGACTGATACGCTTATCTGAGTGCATTCTGTGTTATAAATTGTGCTTTTTATTTAACCGTGTATTTGTGTTCGTCTTAAATGTATTGTATTGTTTTATATAGTCGATGTCAAGAGCTTCCGTTTTGCACATCAACGTTTAATAAATCTATTGACTTGAATTTGACTTGACCATTCACATGCATGTTCATACCTCTCAAGAAGTGCTCAATATCCACGCCTCAATGCTTGATAACAATGTAATAAATGAACAGCGACGTCTAATTTCTTCACTATTATGCTATACTAACAGAATGATATAAAAAAAAGTTAATCGATATTCTAGTCAGATCCGTTTGTGCATGTTTCTATTTAAGAAAACAATGAACTTTGTACCTACCTGTGTATAATGACCTGTGGGCACCGTAAATCCTGTGGACCAATTCCACAGCGTATACTCATCATACCAAGCCTTTATTCCCCTCTCTATCAATTCCCTTTCTTGTCCTTTATCTCTAATTGTATGAAAATACAAATTTTCGCCGTACCCTGTGTTTCCATTATGTCCTACAGTACAGGTCTTGGCCCATTTCAGCGCAACGTTGGCAATCGTATCACTCCAAACCTGTAGGGATGAAAAAATTAAAAAAAATAAAGCTTATCTTTCTTACACACACAGCATTACATGTATATGTCATATGTGGTGCACGATTGGAACGATTACATGTACAGGTTTTTCACAATTAATTTTTGTATACTTATCAAACATGATTTATGCGTTGATTCGTTTTGTTTTTATTTTCCTTTCAACCACTGGTACTTTAATTTCATTTGTGCAGAGTCCTGGTAAGTGCTGAAACCCCAGTAAGATTGTTCTGTCTGTCGCAGACCATTTCATACATACGGAGGTGAGAGTTACTTGTTTGAGGATAGTGCCCCTTCTTTCGTCTTACTTCTCTTAGGAGACACGAATTTAGTCTCAAACTTGCTTTGAAATGAGAGGGCTGTCCTCGTTGATGACTTGGCAGTGACTTATAGGTGATGGTAAGCGCTTTTGTGCTGCACATTCCAATTTCGGAATTATCTCCTTGTATATTTATCTGTACTAACATCTATTTGTTTTGTATAGTTAATACATAACTAAACATGCATTGTCATCTAGGTGTTAACACTTATGGTCCTTCCGGCGGAGTACTCACATTTTGTCATACCGTGTTCTTTATAGATAACTTAACGATATAGGGTTTGCTCATTGTTGAAGGCAGTACGATGACCTGTAAGGGTTGACATCTTTTTCCTTTGGCCTGCGGATTATTGTCTGAAAGGCAATCATACAAACTCTCCTATTTTATATGTTATATCTGAATTTACCATTTTCTCCATATTAGCAGCTCCTTTCTTTGCTTCCATCTTTCTATATTTGTTATGTTCTTGTACCATATAATTATCGTATTGACCACAATATACAAGGTCTACCATATACAACGCCAATAACAACCCTGGTAGACTCATGGCAAGGTCTAGAACAAAGTTTAAAATATTTACTGATGATAGTAGATACAAGAATTCAAAATCATGGCTTGAGTTATTAGCCGATATTTATTTGATTTGATATGATAAAGACATGTTGAGCATACTGGATAACTATTTTAAAAACAAAAAGTGAAACTTCAGCTGTTTTCGGGGGATTTAATCTTTTAAGTCAACATTACACTTTAACACTGACAGCAGCAATCGCAGGCCAGACAATGTGTTCCGCGGAACCCCTTATGAATTTTTTCTCTAATATTAACCAGTTGAGGAGACTTACATATAAACAGATAGTGAAATTAGTATCCTATATTTTCTTTACATAGATTACATTTTCGGTCCTCCGCAGGTATATTATGCAAACGTCCAGTTTCAATGGGAATTTTAAAGTTAGATGTTCTTTATTTTGTCATTTAGATTATTTCGTTTTCCGGCATCTGTATTAAATAATTTTAAAAGCTAAAAAGTTCTTTAAAACTTGATTTAAATACACCACTGGAAGATAAGTACCGATTATCAGGTAGTCTGCATATTAATATTGTAAAATATTAGCTGCGATTCACAATATGAAGCTTTTTGTCGAGAGAGCGAAGCGAACGAGTTTAAAAGGCTTCATATTGTGTCGAGCAGCTTATATTTTACCATGCATATATGCAGGTTACCAGATAATTGATTAATCGGGTTGTGTTTGCGTATTTTGCATGAGAGAAACAAGTGTTTTCCTGGTTTCACCAGCATCCGGATGATGACTTGGTTAGTTCTGCTATCAAATGTGGAGCAGGATCTGCTAAACCCTTCCGGAGCACCTGAGATCACCCCCAGTTTTTGGTGAGGTTCGTGTTGCTCAGTTAGTTTTCTATGTTGTGTTTTGTGCATTATTGTTTGTCTGTTGGTCTTTTTATTTTATAGCCATGGCGTTGTCAGTTTTTTATCGACTTATGAGTTTGAATGTCCTTGTGGGATCTTTCGCCTCTCTTCATACCATTTGACGTCGCTGATATGTTCGGGTCAAAATTATTAAGGCCGAGTCGATGTATTTGACGTCACAAAGCCGTGCTATGGAATTTTAATAAGACCAGAGCAGAGTGTTATAGAGAGTGGGACGACCTATAATTGAACATGTTGATGCCACTTTTGAATATATTGATCTTGTAAAATCTGTTTTTATCAGATCTTTATAGTCAGAACTATCTTGATTGACAAATGCATATCCTAATTTTGTATCATTAAATATTGACTAAATAATATTTAACCATTTGATGGACTGACTGCTATTTTGCTTTATACTAAGTAAAAGTCTATACACATAACTACTTAATTTTTCACCATGAAATATTTTTCTCCTAAATAATACCGTCTTTTTCTAATGGAAATCTGCCTATTTATTCATAAGCCGTATAATAAGTTGTTTACCTTAATTTTAAAAACACATGTTTACAAAAACTTAAGTTATTTTTTTCTAAAACTTTCAAGTTTTCGAACCTCGAAATCTCATAACCATATAATAAAAATAGGCTACCACGGTATCACCAAGTGTGAGCTGTAGGTCTTATGGAATGACTTGTTTTTTTATATTTCTATACAAGCTGTATAATGCTTTCTGTGCTTAGTTAATCAGTTTTTTCTTTGCTTCTACAAAAATCCCTTTACCAAGAATTGCCAAGATATGAGTAAGTATCGACTATTTTAATATTTTTGCCCTGTAATTTAAATTCAATTTCCGTCGCACTTTGCGTTGGCTAAACACCATACTTTTTGATATTGTAACATTAACTTCCAGTTTCCATAATATACAGTAATTATGAAAATATTAAGGGCATTTCGCATATTTTCTGCTGAATAAGCCAATATGACAGTATCAAACAGTTTCATAATTGTATTTGACTCAGTTTTACATCCAGGGGACATCCACCTAATTCAGCAAAGAACTTTTTTATGTCATTTAGAAAAATGGAAAAGAAAAGAGAGAAACATTTTCACCCTGTCTTACACCAGTAAGACAAGTAAAATATTCTGACTGGTCGTTGTTGTATTGAACACATGATTTTATATCATTATACATGTTGAAAATGACAGTATAAATTTTGCCCTTTATACCACTGTTCTGTAGTTGTTTCCACAAGCCACTCCTCCATGCATACAGTGTAAAAGGCCTTACGGAAATCGACAAATGAGCAAAATAACTTTTTTTCCAAAACACTGATAAAGTGATATTAAGGCATGTAATACGAACAAATTATCAGTTGCAGAGTGACCTTTTCGAAATCCTGCTTTATTATATGAAATTACGGAAATTGTGTTTGCAAAAAAAAAAAGTTAACCTAGAATTAATAATTGATGTAAAAAGTTTTCCTAGACAGCTAATTAATGTTATTGCTCTGAAATCCGGATCCATTTTATCTCATTTGATCTTAAAAACTGGTCTTATTATACCAATGGTCCAGTGCTCTGGTATTATTCCAGTGTCTAAGACAATGTTGAATATTTTACAGCATATCTGAACCAGTGCTGGAAAAGAATGTTTTACATATTCAGATAAAATTTTATCTAATCCAGGTGATTTGTTATTCTTCAAATATTTTGTTGCATCAATAATTTCGGCATCATTTAAGATTGAATTGTACAAGGTATCATCACAAATAGAATTAAAGTAAATATCTAAAGCATCATCAGCTGCAAATGGTTCATATTGATTCAAAATCTTTAAAATATAATTAAATGACAAACATTGGTTTAACAAACAGTACGAAGAAAAATAGAACGCATTTCATCAGGTAAAAAATACACATAAGCATAATAAGTCTGCTGAGATCAAACAACTTTTAAGCTGTATAAACAAAAAACACTAAACCAAAATTTAAGTAAGCATAAAAAAAAATGTGCTGCTGAGCTAAGATCTCACTCGAAATATGGCACAAAATCTGTTTGGGGGACTCTTAAAAGTATACAGAAAGATTCATATTGACACATTTTACGAATATTTTAAAATGTAAAATTATTCCTAAATCTTTGTATTTCTCTACACACATCTTTTTATTTCATCCTTGAAACTTCCTGAATTTTTCAATTATATCTGTGTTAATCTTTTATGAAGTTATAATATATCTATTATTTTTATTATATTAAAAGATGGCGAGAGCTAAAAAAATGTGCTCTGAACAAATTTCGGCAAAATCATAACTTTTTATCATACAGATAAGTCAGCGAGAGAGCAAATCAAAGACCCATCATCGAAATAGTTGCTTGATATATCCGGCCTTCCTTTTTCACATATCTTTACGCATTATTCAAAATCAAAGTATCACAAATGGCGGGTCTTGAACATGTAGTCGTAGGCCTTGATTTTGATAATATTGACCTCTGTATCGACAAAGTATTGAGTGAATACCCTGTCAACATTTTCCCAACAAATCTAAACAAACGTACGGGAAAGGCCAATAAATGCTTGTACGAGGAAATCAATGTTAACTTGTAATAGAAGGAAGCGAGAATGGTAACTTTCTACACATCCCTAACACATCCTTGGATAAAAACACTTGATTTATTCTATTATGAGCACATGGGAAACAATGAACAATTTGACATTATTTGGTGTGATGTACCCACAACATGGTCTGATCCCAACAGTAATGGAAACTCCATTGTTATCGGAATATTTGATAAAGACCAAGTACTTCAATTTAACATTCTTTGTTACAACTGGGACAATCAGAGTTCATGGATTTAAATATATGATATTGTGCAATCCCACTTTCCTGTTCTCATGCAAATCCTAGCTAAAGTGTTAAATTCTTGTAACACTGTTGTGGAAGAAAAACAAAATGATTTGGATCAGACAATTTTGAATTAAAATGAAAACTTATCATCAAATTTAGACTTGCAGAGCGATTGTGCTAATAATAATCTTGACGATTCACTCACATCAATAAAATCGATCAAAATCCACCGTACAACAGGATGAGCACACAAGTACACTTGGTACAGTAGAGAACCCAAGTATTGTTAACCACTTTTCTAGAATTGAGAAAACTATAACTAATGCTATCATGCAGGTAGAATATCAACAAACAAATGACCATTCCAAATTAATGACGGCAATACACTCTCCTTGTGAAACTTTATCTACCTTTATCAAAGCAAATTCCAGACCAAAAGATCAATCTGAGGTAACATCTCTACAAAAAAAATGCACATTGAAATAGAGACTTCAACATCTAGAGAACCAACTTGAAATCCAGGAGGGTAACATGTTAATAGAAAGATCAAACAATGAACCCAACATCAAAAGTCTGAAATCACTGCTGGATGAAACCAGAACACAATCAAAGCAATATAGTGAAATATCTCACTTGAGTTCACACAATACACTGATAAATTGAAAGTGAAAGATGAGGAAATACAACACCAAACAATCTCGGTTAATAACTTGACAACCAAATAGGACAAAGCTCAAGATGAGGTTACTCAACTAAAAATGCACATTTTTGCTTCACTAGATAATATCAGCTTGATCAAGGAGTTCTCTACACCTAAGACAGCAACTCCTCAACAACAACATGATGTATCGTTAAAACCCAAGGTACTTTTATTGGGGGCTTCAAATGTAAAGGACATAAATGAAGCTAAACTTACAAGTGCAGCTTATGTTGTGAAAGTTGTAAAATATACTTTAAAGGAAACCAAAACAAATGTCATCTCTTATGAAGACACACCAGATGTAGTGGTCCTGCAATTGCTAACTAACGATTTGAAAACACTTACGTCACAGCAATGTGTTGGTGAACTTAAACGTTTTGTTTCTTTTATTCAGAATAAATGGCAACATGTTAAGATTATCATATCTCTTACAACCCAAGGAAAGATAATATTGTATTTTACACAAATGGACAAATCATAAATGCTTTAATAAACAAAATAATACAGTCTCGTGTGAGTCTTATTGTGAACAGTGTACCATGTTGTCACAAGGGTATCTCGTTAATGATTTATTAACTGAAGATAAGTATCACTTGTCATCAAAAGGGGTTTAAATTTGGCCAGCAATTTTCAAAAGGCAATTCACAGCGCTCTTGATATCCCTATGCCCACTCAAAAGCGAAGGCGTTCTTGTTTGAGGGGACAAAGATGTTATGGTAGGGGAAACCGAAGAGACGAAATTTGTCAATTTGTTTTGAACTAATATCCTTAATTTGTCAGTTTATTTTGGGTTTATTTTTTCATATATTGTTGCAATTTAACATTTCACAGGGGCACTGAGCATGTTTCTTTCCTTTTATTTCTGTTCATTTAATAGGGAATTACACACATGTACAAGGGCACGAACATGTACAATTTTTGGTATATTGAAGTAATCTTACAAATAAAATTTGTTTGTTTTTTTTTGGGCACAGGACATTTTAGCGAAATATTTTGAAATACTAGGGGACATTTTGGCGCAGACATTTTAGCCAATTTTAGCGCAGGATTAATCTGTTTACTTGTATTTCAATAGCCCATTTTAGCGAAACTTACCTGGTTGAATAATACTATCCATACTAAAACTATGAACAGTAATTTATGCTGGTTTAACGTTTAAGTTGTTTGCATTTACACTTTATTGGACATATCATTTAAAGATGTATCTGATTGTTTTGTAGAAGGGTCCATATCCGTTACGCCAGAAGATAATAGATGTGTCGATTTCGCAGATTATCTGACCGAATACTATGTAAAAATTAAAATAACAAAAATACCGAACCACAAAGAAAATTCAATTCGGAAAGTCCCTTATCAAATGGCAAAATCAAAAGCTCAAACACATCAAGCGAATGGAAAACAACCGTCATATTCCTGACTAAGTACAGGCGTTTTCTTATGTAGAATGTATGACAGTCGCATAGAATTCCATTATATTGACAGCAATGTGTGAACAAATCAAACAGACATATTAATAAGTAAAAATGTCAAAAATAGGGGTACAGCAGTCAACATTGTGTTATAATTTTAACAAATAAAAACAAACAAATATGTCAACAAAGAAAAACAAAATGACATATAGATAAAGCACATAAGAAAAAAATGAAGGCAAGAATACAAAAAATGACCAAAGCACAACAACACATTGGCGGGATGCACAAGTACCGAGCCACACCAAAAGGATATTACCCAAAATGGACTAAACAGTAAAAGTTAATAATTACAAAGACAAATAAAAGAACACTATAACACGTAATTCAGATGATAAACAACGTCAGTACCTAGAATCTATACTTCAACACCATCATGTATTATTTGTGAAGGTCGATACGTTCGTTGATATAACCCTGATTCATCAACTTTCTGCTCAGACACAGGTGACGTTTTACAAAGTCTGGGTAGCAAGCTCTTGAATACCGAATGAGTTGGGAAATGTATATCCCATATGCAGGTGAAGTTGGTATATTGCTACTAAGATGGGGGAAATCGATAATTTCGAAATTAGAATTGTCTCGTTTGTCATAGATTTTGGAACTGAGATGACCGCTTATGTCAAATTCGAGGTATAAGTCTAAAAATGAGGCGGAGGAAGTCGTGTCTGTTGTTTCTTTAATTTCTGAATCTGGAGAAAAAATAATGGAACCAAATCTGAAAAGTTCAGATTGTTGATTGAAAGAACATCATCAATATATTTGAATGTAAAATTAAGTGATCTGGCTTCTTTGATCTTCTTGTTTTTGACAAGTGCCTGAAGGAACTCCGACTCATATGAAAATAAGAGATCGTCAAGCAGAGGCGCACAGTTTGTTCATATAGAATGCCGAAAATTTGTTGAAAAAGTCTACCTCCAAGTTCAACAAATATGTTGTCAATAAGAAACTCCAGCATACTGATCACTTGTTCCTCTGTGTAGCATTTTTTTACCTTTTTGTCCACTATTAACAAAATATGCCGTATGGTATCCCAAAGTAATAAATTTATAGCGTATGCTACCATTATCCTTTTGAAAAGCATTGGATTATTTCTTTTAGACGATTTTTCAATTTCACATGGGGAATGGTGGTATACAGGGTTGAAAAATTAAAAGTTTTGATAGAATTCATCTCAGAGAAAGATCGAGATTCCAAATTATCCAGAAGTTCTTTAGAGTTTTTTAGAATCCACATATTTTTGTCAATCTAACGAATAATTCGTTTGTAGAACATGCAGATGAACCGGCAATGTACCGTTGTTTGTACGGAATTTTGTGAAGCTTATGTATCCAATACAAACGAGGTAAGTCCTCATATTTGCTGTTCAATATAATGTTCATTGAGGCCATGAAGGACGTATGATTTGCCAATATCTCATCCTTGTAAAATGATATGTTTTTGTATGTGGGATAACATGCTAGTGAGTGCTCATTTATTCCTAATTATTTTACAAGACACTCGTAGTAGTTAGATTTACATACAAAGACAACATTATGTGAAACTTTGTCCGCAGGAACAACACCGTATTTATCGTGAAGAGATGATATACATTTCACAGCTTCTTTGTCTCTGAAAACAGACTTTGGTCGATCATTCACACAGTTTCTCAACTTACAAATTCGACGTTTTATCAGAGACCTGATTGTTTTGACCCACTCTGACAAAGTGTCCAGTTCAACCTTTTCTCGTTTAGCCCATGCTCTGGCGTAGTCCTCAATGGAATCCATAATCATTTTGAAGTTATGATTCCAATTGATATGTTGGGGTTCTCTCAACTTAGGACCATGAGATATTACCTCTCAGAGATGTTCATGTTGAATTATATTTAGATCCCCAGTAATAAGATGACCAGAGGGGCTGTAAATATAATGCGAGTGGGAACAGTCACATAACGGAGTGTTTTTTACGTATTCTTCAAATCCAGGCCATGCAATGCTTGCTTATAGTTAAATACTTTAGGTGCAATGGTTTTGCTGTAACTGTAGGATACAATAGGAACTAACTGAGTTTTGAAAATAAAGGGGAATTTCAGATGTTACCTCCTTGTGATGAAGTACGTTGCTGATATTGATTGCATAAATTCCTTTATTTGAAAACTGAACTGAAAGGTATTTCCTCTTTTCATCATGTAATGGTTCCGAACTTACTGGCTTAAAAAAAGACAGAAAAGAGCTACATTACAAATGATACTGACCAGTCTGTATAATGGAGAAAAAGTATTTATGCTGATATTCTATGTTTCCACCTTGGGCAGAGGTTCCATGTAATTCAAAGCGAAAATATAATGGCACAGAGTCGTTCCATGTTCATGAGCTATTTTATAGTTTTCACCCAGCCATTTACGTTTTTCTTTAACACGGTTACTTTCTGTCTATTTTGACGTTAGATATAGAATCAGTGTGTGAGAAGGTAATGTTTTCTGTTCGTAAATAGCTCTTAATCAGCTGTTGCTCAGTGATACCCATTTGACTGTTTGTATGTATGAGCATATTAAATAAAAAAGAGGTCTCAAATAAAAGTCGCTTTAGTTATTTATTTAAAAAAAAAAACAAAAAAAAAACAGACAATCGACCAAGGTTATCGAACATTTTCCTCATGTCCAAGCATATGTATTCCGAAAGAAATTAAAAAATAAAATAAAAATACAAGTCGAAATATCAAAAGTGTAATATAATTTTTGTAGATAATATGAACAAAAATAATCGACTAACCTGATTTGCCTGTGACGGTTATCCTTTCGTGTGTTTGCTATAAGCGGCATTCTGATGCGTCTTTTATAGATGACCATCAAGTTAGTGCTAAAACATCGGAAATTAGAATAATCATAACGTCTTAGTGTAAGATGATGATAATCGCAATTTCAAAATGCATTATCTAAAAATCTGGAAAACGTGACATCCAGTTCATGCATAAAATGATACTAACTTATAACTTTCGATGAGATCAATAAAAAAAGTGACAAAAAAAAAATAATAAAGAGCATATTTTGTTGCTTGTATTTCGGATTTGTTTTTACCCTTCCCGAGTTTAACTATTGTGTACATGTTATACAATATATGTTGCATACGAAACAAGTCATCTTTACTCTTGCAGAAGCGCACCTGATATAAATTATATTCAATAAATAACTCTCTTTAGACGAGGAGTCGAATTGTCAAACCACATATTTATGGAAACAAAAGACTACTGATATCTTATTCATTATTAAAAGAAAAGGTATTCCATTGCACTGTATGTGAGATATTCAAATACTGCGGACAAAATATATATTTTGATGACGATTAATCATCGTGGCATTTAGTAACGAAGAATGTAGCAAAGATGTTTTTCGTAAGAGATTTTCCAATAAATTAGAAAAAAAAATTTATTGAACTCTGTCCAAGTGCTAGAAAGGCTCGATTACATTCGGAATAATTTAGTTGAATTTTTATAAACGTCATAGACGCATACACATCTTTTTTATTGTCTTCGGTAGACGCCCTTCTAGTTTTATTACTTTGTCAGCAAGATGAGTAGCCTAGTAACTGGTAAAGTTGAAGTTTTCCACCGGAAACATTTATGGACGCTATCATCATTTAATTGACCATTACGGAATATATTTGGCACAGATGACACGGATGTGTTCTAGTTTTCATTTCTGTCCTCTTTTCTTTGAAAGTGACATCATCGAATTCGATTTATCACCGACTTTATATTTGCCAAGAACGAGACGACAGGTGTCATGGTGGTTCAGGATCTGCTTATCCTTCCGGAGCACATGATATAATCCCCTGTTTATTTTTGCTGAGATTCGTGTTGCACAGTATTTAGTTTTATGAATAATGGTTGAAGATTGCTGTTTATCTTTTAGTCGTTTTTCTTTTCTCATAATGTTTGTTTTCTTCGACTATTATTTTGTTATTGGAATCGTCTGTGTATTAAAACTCATCAAAAATAGCAGGCTTATAATTTCGTACACCAGACGTGTGTTTCGTCTACACAAGACCCATTAGTGGCGCTCGAATCAAAATGGTGTGATAGCCAAATCAAATTCAAAGTAGAAGAGCATTAAAAACCGAAAGTTTCAAAAAGTTGTGCCAAATACAACTAATGGAATCTTTTCCTGGGGGTAGGAAAAACCTTAGTGTTTCGAATAAATCAACATTTTATACGCATTAGATTTACAGAAAATGAACATCTCAATGCTATTTCATGTCATCGCAAAGCCCAGGTGATACTCTCAAGATCGGTGAACTAATTTATATTAGTCCGCAGTATTACCTTACCAGTGTAACATATATATTTAGTGATATCTGTTGAAGTAGGTTAATATGTTATATGGTAAACAAAAAAGGGCCCATTGGACAGGAAATATTTTGAAACTTTTTGTATTGTTATATGGTAATGGAAAACTACTTTGGAATATTTGAGAAAAAATATCATGTATGTTTGTTTTGTACTTTTAAAGCTATCAGAACTGTCAAATTTTGTAAAGAAGTAATATTACATTTTATTAAACTTATATAAAAGTTATTGCCGAAAAACGGAAGCAGATATTCTCAAGAGAGGGTAATGATGCTCTTATGTCTAAGACTTGCACCGTTGAGTGTCAATCAATATGTTACACAGTTATTAAAGCAAGGCCAATATTTATTACATCATTTATTTTGCTTTTCTGTTTTCAAGCGTTAATTTGGTATTCAAACTTAAAACTGATAATAATTTTTAAGTATTTTTTGAAGACGACAAAATAGAAGCCAAACAAGTTATAAATTGTACTGTAAATGTAACGACAAAAAGAGCGGTGCGGGTAACAAAATATGAATAAATACAGGCTACCAATTACAAAGCTAATCTAAATAGTAGTATACCTTTATCTGTATGATCGGTTTGATAGTCTGTTTATTCCTCATGGTATATCAATATAGATAAGTTGCTCAATCGTGAAATTTTTGTCCATAAAAAGTGTTATTCTTATATGTTAATGTCATATCAAATAGGTGTTAAATAAATAGGAAAATTGTACCACTTAATTATCAAATTATGGAATGAACATGTTAATGTGTTCAATATGGCAAAATAAAAAGTTTATATATAAAAGTACGAAGATGTGGTATGATTGCACAATTACCCACACGAGTTCAAATGACGCATATCATTGGCATATGTAAGCAACTATTATAGGTCACCACACGTCACCAACCTATACTGCACAGTGAGCCACAGAATGCCCTGACATGATAAATTAGAAACAACCAGGACGAAAAAAAACCCGATTTATGACAAAACAAACATGATAGACCAAAACCAACGACAACCACCAAACCACAGGGTTTAGCCTTTGAACAGTATATAAAAATGATAATTACAACATTTATGATTACGTAATACTGTTGAATGTTCTTATATTCGTTACAGGAAAAGCCACTTTCGTTATTTACTTTTGAAAACAATAATACAAATACATACAAAAGGCTAACAAAGAATCATATCAGAATAACAACTTCACTTTGTCTTTCAGTTACTGTTCACAGTAATATGAAACTTCTGCTGATGAATTTACAACTTTGAAATGTTTTTTCTTCTTCAAATATCCTGTCTGTTTAAATATAAGAAAGATGCCAGCTAACATGTCAATAGACGCATGGATGGAAGTTGTAAACAACTAATTGTATAGCAGAAACAAGGAGAAATTAATGATTTCAAGCATAATTACACCTTATATATGAATGCCGGATTTTGATTGGTTGGTAGCCAGTGTATTTGTCGCATATCCTAACCTTGGGACCAAATTTCCCTCGCCTTATGGCTCGGGAAATTTCACACTCCCTTGAATGGTATTTTTCGCAAATAACCCTCCATAACATGATATATCTGTTCGTAATTATAATAAATACATTTTAATAAAGCCTTGTCAACATAACACAATAAACTATAATAATATTTTTATCGTACCTGTCGGACATTGTCTTTGAACATAACATCTATTTTGTACCATGCGTTTTTCTGATATCAAGAGTCGGTCGAAATGACGGCAACCAGTTTTTTCTTACATCTATCAGTGTCCTTGCTTAAGCAATCAAAGGTTATAACTCTAGAAAATCGTCAGAACCAATCTTGATCTCTATTTTGTCAAGAGAGACAACATAAGGAAATTTGGAAAGGATTGGATCAAGTGTCTCAAGTTATCGCACGGAATCGACATAAAGTGCAATTTTCCTAGTAATTAAGGAATATTGTTCATTAACTGCAAAAGTGAAAACCTTCGTAATTGATCTTGACTTCCAATTTCGATTACAATAGGTGTAGTAAAGATGTAAGAAGTGACTTGAATAGACTACTAGATCTTTACAATAGAGTGGAATTTTAAGATGCAGCCAAAAACCCGGTTCTGTTCGTGTTAATTATCTACAGTATGCAGAAATTACCCCATCTTTGTTTCTTAACACTGACTTGTATTCCCTTTCTATCTATTTTTTGTTTTCAACGTTGGTAACATATACAGTTTGACACTTTTTCCCTCGTCACTTATCTACTTCTCCGAATACACGCATGTTCTTTACATTGATGATTTGCTGTTTTGTATTTCCCTTCGATTCAAAGAAAAGCGAGGATATGAATTTAAAAAGCAGTAGCTCACACTGCATCTTGTTTTTACTTCAAAGTTTTAAAGTGTCTTGTATGTTTTATCTTCACAAACTTTTGACTGGAGTAATTCCACAATCCGTGTCTTTTGCAAATAAACTGGAATCACACGCTCCTTTACTATCACTGTGACCATGTGTTCTAACAATCGGCTAGATTCACATGTTACATTGCAATTGCTGTGTTTTTACTTATCACTTATGTCAATGTAATAAAACTAAATTGACAACACCCTTGAAGAATTTTGACTTTAGACAGTTTTTGCTGTTCTTTTTGTTTTTGTTTGTGGGTTTTGAAGTTCCAATTTGTTTTATATTTTTATATGTTTTGGCTTTCCAAAATATGTTAGTGTCAATCGAGCTGAATGGAGATTATTCTAGAAACACATATCGTGTTTACACAATAATCGTATTATACGATTCGTTTATACCTTTATAATAACAAAACCTAGATGCTTCTTTAAGATACCATTTATTGGCATACAGCAATTAAGTTGTGTTATAAGGTGCTGTTTTATATATTCTTATAGAGATTTCCAATAAAATGACATACGTACACAACTCGACGTACGTACCTAGCGGGCACGGTTATCGCCAACCTACGAATTTTGTTTAGACGTCGCTCAAGTTTAAACAAAGTACTAGTATTCCAAGACTTTATAAATCAGATACTGGCATTTTCTTCCAAATCAAATAATTATAAAATGACGTTAGGGGTTTAATATAATACCATCAATTTATAGTCTTTTATCCATTTTATTGATAAACAGTTTATAAGTGGGACACCGAATTAATTTTCCTGCATAAATCATTGAAGTGCATGTGTCATAAAAAAAGAAACATAGAAAAATAAGATAATAAGATTTTTTGGATGCGCAATGCAGTCAAAACGGCACACTATTGTATTCCTTTACGGTGTGTTTATACCAGTGTATACGATCACGACTTTGCACAACGCTAAAATATAAGTATATATCAGTAGCATGTTAGACCATAAGTATTCAGTTCATATGTAGTTTTAATATAATATTGAGAATGGAAATGAGGAATGTGTCAAAGAGACAACAACCCGACCAAAGAGCAGAAAACATACGAATTCTACAAATGGGTCTTCAACACAGCGAGAAAATCCCGCACCCGGAGGCGGACTTCAGCTG